GCAGTAATATTGTTATATCTGTATGTAGTTTAAACTAACATCTGTTCCATTGCCAATCTATGGCACCATCTGTGCAAAAGTATTGCATGAATGATTGTCTGACTTCTTTTGCTTGGTTTGTAGAATTGTGACCTGATGAAGGCACACTAAGGGGTGCAAATGAAGTTGAGTTATCATGTCGCCACTGTCCAGGAACAATATTTCCATTTAAATCTTCAGTGTCATGTAGTCCAACTTGACAGTAAATATTTTTTGATGAGCTCTTGCGTAAATAGTTATGAAGGATGAGTGCTGTGTTTGTTATTGATTGGACTGTTTCTGGGGACAATTGAAGAGGTGTTCTTAAGAATCGCCATCTATTTGCTAGATCTCCAAACAGGTTTTCAACTATACGTCGTGCCCGGCAATGCCTGTAATTATATACTCTTTTTTCAACAGAAAGATTTTGCTGGGGATATGGCTTCATCATGAAAGTTTTTAATGCAAAAGCATCGTCTCCTACAAATACATATGGGAGGGATTCTGTACCACCTGAAAGTGTTTCTGGAGGGGGAAGAGTAATCTGATTTGATTCGATAGCCTTTGCCATACCACACTTATTCCAAACTCCTCCATCAGAAATACGGCCGTTAGTGCCAATGTCAGCATATAGACATTCATAATCTGGGCCAGCAATTGCAAGCAACACAATGGAATTAGTGTGCTTGTAGTTATAGAAATATGAACCAGCATTTGCAGGTGGCTGCAGCAAAATGTGTTTACCATCAACGGCACCAATACAATGAGGATACTGCCATCGGTTTTCGAACTTTTTGGCAACATGTAACCACCCTTCATCTGTTGAAGGGCATTTCATGAACACCGGTCCAACATGACGGTTTATCGCTTCACAAACTTCTTTAATTATGTAAGAAATGGCTGCCCTTGATATTCTAAATTGAAAGCTCAAAGATCTGTAAGATTCACCCGTCGCTAAGAAACGTAACGTCAGTGTAAGCCTTTCTGCAGGTGCAATAACTTTATGGCCACCAATCACTTGATGTGGAGTTATGTCGCGTTCAATATAACTTAATAATGTTTTAAAATCTTCATAATGCATCCTCATCATCTCTTTATACCCTGCAGAGTCTTCAATCGCTATTTCTCGCACAATATTTGTGTACAACCCCTTTTCTGCCCTTCTTTTCATCCATTTCCTCGTTTTCCCCCTTGTCCACTTTCTTTCGTCATCAATTACCTCCAATATGCACAAAGATGCCAAACAACGCCTAATTTTTATTCGTCTGTCATCCGCCATATTGTTTTTAAAATAAATAATATACTACCGGCCAACCCCGTTGATCGACCCACTCAAAATAGCAAAAGTTGGCCCGGTTTGACCAGTTCAAGACAACAAAGTCGCAACATCGGCCAACAAAGTTGCGTGATGTTGGATGCGAATGTTGCGCTCGTTTGACCAAGGCTTTAATGTGAGCAAAGGTGCTTGATAACGCAGGGTGGGAAACTTGGTTGCCTGTAAGGGGGGATATTCCCAAGGGCTCCGAAAATCTGGTGTGTAGATGACGTGTGGTTTGACCCACATAAGAGGCGTTGCAACTTCGACACTTGAATAAATAGACTACTCCAGATCTCAGAGGTTTGGGAATTTTGTCCTTAAAGGGGAAGGAAGAAGAGATACGTTGGGAAGGACGGAAAACAAATTTAATAGATATATGTGGGAAGGCTGCAGCACAAAGGCTATTGATTTGTGTACGAATTTGAAGGGGTATGCCGGTGAAAGGAAGACAAAAATAGTTGGGCATTTTGTGAGCAGTCAAGACAGGTGGTTTGGAGGTGTTGTTAAGGAAGCGACGTGTGATTTGGTCAATTATACGTGAAGGAAAACCATTTTTGGTGAGTGACTTTCTGGTAAATTCGAGTTGTGTATGAAAATTTTCGTAAGTAGAACAAAGGTTCAAGATGCGGTGACCACACGTCATCTACACACCAGATTTTCGGAGCACTTGGGAATATCCCCCCTTACAGGCAACCAAGTTTCCCACCCTGCGTTATCAAACATCTTTGCTCACATTAACGCAACTGGAAACACCCCCAACTTAGACGACTTTAAAATAATCTCCTCTTCTAACGATTTCAATGAACTCTCAATTCATCAGAGTCTTCTAATCAATAAATACAAGCCTTTACTTAACGTGCAAGGAAACTCCATTCCACTTAACCTCTTTTAATTTCTCTTTATTTTACTTCCTAACTTCCTTATCATATAAACCATTTGACACCGCCTCCTTTAGTAGTAATTTAACACCTTTTTGTAAATATAATATCTTGTCTTAACATCCTATTCATTATTTGTCTGAAGATGTCTTGAGTAAAGACGAAAGGTTACAATAAATTCAATTTTACAATATTTTTGGTTTATTTCTATGGCTCTAATCAAAACTTTATGTTGGGAATTAATTTTTATTACACGATTCCGTAAAAGCACTATTGCTAATGCGCATTTAATATACACGACAAGTTTTTTTAAAATAGACATGTTTCGACATCTCATGATGCTATCTTCAGCATGAGTGAAATAATAAGTGATACAAGGTTTATATAAGAGTAATATGATATTCAATATAATATATATTTTATATTACGCTCGGACGCTCCCCATTAATATATCTTATTTCCTTTTTATTGTTGTAACTTATGTATCATATTACTTTTATATAAACCCTGTATCACTTATTATTTCACTCATACTGAAGATGGCATCATGAGATGTCGAAACATGTCTATTTTAAAAACTTGTCGTATATTAAATGCGCATTAGCAATAGTGCTTTTACGAAATTATCCATGAATATCTTATTTCCTCTACTACCTCGTGACCATGCACATGATGTGTATCGATGTAGAACATTACTATTATATAGTAGAAATTTATTTCTTTTTATTATTATATAAAGATATATGAAAGTTAACAAGTTCATTTTCCAAACTTGATTCGAGCTAGTTCCAAATCTCACCAAAATCAACAAATTTATCTTTATAAAACATTTACATACGTACATAGCGCGGAAGTAGAATATTTTACAGAAAAACAAAATAATCGATAAATGGACATGAAACATTAAATCACAAAATCAAAATACAATACAACAACGAAAGGTAAAGTTTAAAATCAACATACCTTCACAAATTCAGAAAGATTACAAGACACAACCAACTACATGATATCTCAGGTGCGGCGTTCTAGTCGATTCTGTGGAATAATTTAAATGATTGACGCTTCCGGTCACGTGAGATATGATACCCTACCCCTAGGAAAAAGGCTCCTACAATATACCGGAAGAAAAACCCTTTCGTTTTACCAACAAACAAATCACTCCATTCGTCTTATGAGACGTGGCTAAAAGCCGGTAAAGTACGGGTACAAAACGTCGGCTGGTAGTCGTGGGAGATACATACGTTGTACTTTGGTCGTTTAACTTATGTTATTGTGTCATTGGTAATATCGATAATATTTTCTCATTTGTGATTTTCTTGCTGGTAATTTTAAAAGATGCCAAGGTACACCAAATAACGGCCTTATAGCTGTTAGACTTTTCAACATTTATTTTCATTTTATAGATTTTTATGATAATTTTTGTAGGAGCAATAAAAGGTTTAAAGCAACTGTAGCTGTCACATATCATGATGAGGATGGCCATGTTGAGAGAGAGGTGGATTTGTCAGAATTGGTTACTGAGGATCATAGAGGAAGCTGTTCTTTTAACAGTCCTGATAATTGTGGTGCATTGGAAGGCCATGAACTGGGAATGGAACAAGATAACAGTGATCTTGAAAGTGATGTTCACCATGATTGTGAAGAATCATCTTCTTATTACCAGAAAGTTGAAAGAAAACAAAAAGCATGGGAAAATTTGCGACATTCAATTATAAAGAATACATTTCAGTTTGCTGGCAAAAATTGGAGCAATCTGAAGTGTATTCATTGTGATAATGAAGCAAAGTTTAGGTGCAGCGATTGTGGTCCAATGGCAAAGTATTGTGAGAACTGTATGTTAAAGATGCACACAACCGTAAATATTTGTCATCATGTTGAAATATTTAAGGTAACCTTTATGAGCTAGATATTATAAAAGTGTTTACAGTTAACTCTCTCAACACTTGCAACAAAAAATGCAAAAATAAAATGAGAGTTTACATTGTGAAACATGCTACGAAGCACTAATCTAATATTTTTTATGAATGCAAGAAAGGGATTGATTACAACTAATTTCTACGAGGTTATTCATTGCTTTGTAGGATGGCATGTTTTGCCATATAAACTCATGAACATGCTGGTGTATGATTGTTCATGCCAAACAGCTCGTCACAAAAGAAGTGTTTCTGTTGTTGATGTTAAAGGTATGTTATATGTAAAATGTGCTGCAAAAGTTTTTTCATTTTAGCTGGGATGGTTCAACACAATTATAATTTTGGATCTTTTTCAATTTTAGGCACCTTTTGTACTGTTGAGGTACAGTTTTGCTCATGCTCTCCAGAGTTTGTTCAACTTCTGCAATTTGGCCTTTGGGTGGAACACCTACAAAACCAAGAATTGCATTTGCAATTGAGTTTTTGAATTGATTCATTCTGTGCAGATGGAATGCCAGGCATCAATAAAAGCATTTGTCAGTCATTTGAAGAGTTTAATCATAACCACATATTCTTCTTATGCAACACCAAAAATGTATCCTGTCATTATAGATGCTTTTGAAGAATATAGGTAACTGCATGTAGGTCACTGATTTATTGCACTGCTGTACTACGTATGAATTGCTGGGAAAGTTGCAGTGAATTTTATAGCCTAAGTATCTCATCTTAAAAGATGTATTTAATTGGAGGAAATCAAAATGATAAAGTTTATGATGGGAAAGGATTTTTCCTCAAGGATTACTGTCTTGCACTGCATTTTGTTTATGCCATTTGTTTAAAAGTGCATAATTGCTTTCTTTGTGTCATTGTTTTTTTCAGAATTTACAGCCATAAACTAAACATGTTGAGCTGTGTTATTCCTGAGCTTGATGAAGGAAATATCTGTCCTACTTGTCCAAAGTGAGTATATTCTTATTACTTGTTTAACAATGACAATTTAGTAAAAAGAACATTAGCAATGCTATCTCAAACACCTTTTTGACTGCATCATTTGCATCATTGAACTCAAATACATTGCATGATTTTATCCTTCACCATTTTATTGAAGACTGATGGTGTGATCTTTGAGTCTCTTGATGCTCTATTTATTGGACGAAGGAAAAAGCTGGGCAGAGTCTTGGAAAACCTCTATTTGGACAGCTGATGTTCTATGATCAGACACATGTTGATCAATTTGTTGCAAATTATACCTCACCTACATCAAACAAGGTCAATGTTGCTTTAATATACTTTGTTATTCTAATGAAAATTCAGGCATGGAAGTTACAGTGCTTTGAATATATTTGACTTTTTACATTCTCTACCACATAGTTTTTATTTTCAATAAATTTGTGCCATGGGCTTTAGGAAATAAAGCTCTTGTATACTTTTTGTTTGTTACATATTGATACTTATAGGAGTGTCATGGTTTTCTTGCTGGGAATGCTGTTCGATCAATGAATCGCTACAGAGCTCTTGATGAAACAGCAATCTTTGGGCAGGCTGTCGACATGAGTTTCCTAAAAATTCTTAAATTTGAAACATGGAGAGAGGTCTGTTACACACATTTTTCTCTATTTTTACCTAAATGTTCTTGGTTTGAAAGAGGTGGTTAGGATGCATGCATTTGATGGTGTAAATTTATTTTTTTCAGTTGGTTTGCTACTTTCAATGCTTTGTGCAAGTGCTGAAGCTTTTTGCATACATGTGGTTGCATTATTTAAAAAAATATTCTACATATTTTATAGATTGAGCTATGCAGTTTATGTTCTCCAAGAATTAGAGAAAGATAATGTTGATAATCCTGCACTCAAAATAAACATATTGTATGATGTTGCATACATGTTGGTGAAACACTTACAGGTAATATTCAATTGACAATAGTTGCTTTGTTACCTGTTTCATTTGTCAATAACTTTCCCTCAACACTTTTTTTCTTTGAAAAGGTAGTCTTTCACATGTTTTTCTTTATTTTGTTTTTTACAAAAGAATTTGGAGGATCCGATTGTTGACATTTTTCAATTTTCAATTCCAATTTTTCACTGCTATGGGCATGTTGGACGATGCCAAGTTAGTTGTTATTGTTTTTATTTTTCATACGTATTAACAGATGGTGATACCTATGCTATCATAACTAATGGTATTGTAGATGATAAAATGATAAAAATTCAATAATTGTTTACTAAATCTTTCTTGTAAAAGGTTAAATTTAGTCCCCGTCGTAAAGAAGGATTTGGCCTAACTGACGGTGAGATGTTGGAGAGATTGTGAGCTTACATTCGCAAATTTAGCAGAATGACTAAAGAAATGCGTCCAAGTCACAGAGTTGATGTACTCAGTGATGCTCTTTTACATTATGGAAAGAAAACGAAGATTAATTTAGGTATGGCTAGTTTTCTCTTTCTTTGTTTGAACATATACATAGCTAACATGTCATCATATTATGTAATAGCAGGTATGAATTAAATTTTGTTTTTTGAGGCAATTTGCTGATGGCAAGGATGAAGCGAGCTGTTGACGTGGAAGAAACTGCAAAATCAGATATTGAAAAGTTATGCAGGTGCTTTCCGTGTGAGTATATGTTTGTATTTGCTGTGTGATTATATTTGACTCTGATTTTGGATATGAACTATTTACGACTCACATGAAAGCAGTAAATTTTCTTTTTTTCATTATCTAAAGCTCACAGGATTTCAATAGATGATATTCGTGAGTGGATGAAGGACGAATCGACTTTTTTTGGTCGTGAAGTTGAGACTGGTTAGTAATTGAGAAACAATGGCTTGTAGCTAAGGAACAGATTTGACACATAATTATTGATGCTCATTATGTGGAAATGTTTTACCCACAGAAAACTTTTTTTAACAAATATACGTAAATCTTGAACAACTTACAGAAGAAGAAGATTGGAAATGCAAGTACGTTATATACCTGGACTTGTACGCTGATCTTTACCATCGATGGAATGGTTGCACTGATCCAAGTGAACTGACTGTTCCATTTAATCAGATGAAAAGTATGTTCGAAAAGTTCAACATGTTTCTAGAGATATTAAAGTCTTAAACAGTGTGAATTTAGAAAAATGAAGTGGGAAAATTTTGAAGCTATGAATGTACGTCGTAACATTGTGAATAATAAGTTGGAATATCGAATAAAAATTATTTCTTAGTTTTATACGTACGTACAAGTAGAGATGTATATGCAACTTGCAGGTGCTTGTCTGACCGTGCCTTATATTTGTAATGATTTGGTATTTACTGTTTAGAATTGACATGCAGTTGAAGATCATGGAAAGGGAAAACTCAATTTCTGCACGCTGTCAAAATACTGACTCAGAGTACGAAAATGCATAGGCTTGGTAATGTTTTATGTTTATATCAATTGTTATCCATTAAGATTTGTTGGGGATGTTAAGAAAGCAAAGGATAGCAAGGGATTGGTTGTGTTTGAAGCTACAAAACGGCGGGCGGGAGATAAGAAGAAGAGAGCGGATAAGGGAGGTCCTGGTGTGATTGATGGATACAAGGGTACGATTACTACAATAATGATAACTTTTGAAAGGTTATCCTACTATCTCTTATTCTCTGTTATCCTATAGGAGCATGGAGTATGTTTGTTGATGAAGAAACTATTGCTAAACCATCTGAGGTATTTCAATTGCCCAAATAAAGAGTTTTATAAAGATATTTTTCAAATCAAACAATTATTTTTCTAGCATTTTACCTTGGTAATTACAGGAAAAGTCGACAATCCTTGAGGAGTATGAATTATCGAAGAAAAACAAATCAAAGAAAGATGATATGAAACCTTCAGAAGAGAAATCCACATTACACAGTAAGTTAAAATTTTCATACTTTCTTGTAGTTTCCTAAACTTTACCAAATGTAATTATTTTTCAGTTAAAGATGCATATGACTATCAAGGAAGATCATATCTTCACATTCCACAAGATCTTGGCATTAATCTCAAGTCAGATACTCCTCCAGAACGTTGCTTTCTACCAAAACAACATATTCATACGTGGTATGTAAACAATTCTCCATTTAGTTCATTTATTCAAAATCAAAAAATGGAAGTTAAAATACCAGAAATGACGTTAAACACGCTATTGAATTTTAGTTGTTCTTGCTTTTGTTTGTTTTCTGTTACTTTACTGTAAAACAAAAACGGAAGAAATATGAAAGTTTACTTACTAAAATGTAATTAGAAACGCCATGGAACGTCTGACTTAGAGTCATCAATATGCTTTAAATTTTGTAGATTTTAAGGAAAACACGCAATAATTGAATTAAGTTTAAAGACAGTTTATGATATAATTCTTGATGGTATTGAGGAAGTTCAATTATACATTACAGTATTCATTAGAGAAAGCGTCTCATCCAAATATAAACTTAAAATATGAGTCAAGAAGGTTTAGGTGATCATTTGATATGTTTATAAAATCATATTTATCAGTGTATTATTTATTATAAAGTAATGATTTGTTCTAGTACTACGTACGTATGTTTGTAGATATTGTATTGGACTTCCTTAGCACTTGTTTTAAGAAACACGGCTAACCTGACATTTACTTATCATTTGACTCTGAAGATGACTACTGCTAAGGTTGTCGAAACGTCAGTCAACATCAACACCAACAGTCCTTCACAGGACTCTACTAACCTCGACAAAACGTAACGATACTTCCTGATGCAAATATTCACTTTATACAGCACTTTTAATAACATTTAAGTATTTGTTTTCCTGTAGTTCATCCTTCTACCGTCGTGATAAAAGAAAGCAATGGAGATATTCTTACTTATGTATTATTGTATTATTTTATCTTTCTCTTAGGTCTGGTCACACTAAAGGTGTTTCTGCAATAAGATTCTTTCCGAAATCTGCTCATCTTCTTCTGTCGTGTAGCATGGATTGTAAAATTAAGGTAAAAGTCATTTTCTCTGTCTTACATGTCGTTGTTCATTTTGAGTTTGGTTGTACATCGTTGAATGTTCCTCCAACATTACTGGAGGTGAGAATTTTAATAAATTACCATCACGACAAGCAATACATTTGAAACAATACATTTCCTTTCAGAAACTGCAAGATGATATTCATGTAAGCGCCAACGGCTCTGTTTTTGTAAAATCTAACATAAGACGAGGAATTTTACCCAGGTAATGTGGGATATTTCACATTCATTTGGTTACAGGTCACATTTTATTGATTCAAAAATTGTTGAAAAATAACATTTGCATTTTGTTGTATATTTTGCAGTGTACATAGCGTTCCTTCTTAAGTCTTTACTGTCCTAAATGGCTCTTGATATCTTTGGCTATTATATGTTCAATAAGTTTGATTTATTTTAGAATGTTAGAGGAGATATTATACACACGTATTATGGTAAAGAAAGCGATGAAAGATTGTAAAGATGATAAAGTAAGTTGGTTTTATTAAACCTTTGTTTTGAAGCGATCTTTGATGTTTTATAAGATCCAGTAGCTAAAACGTCATGGAGTTTTCATCATGTTCAAAAAAGATGCCTTTCCACTCTTCGTTTGTTTTCTTTAATCATTCAATATCATAAATAATTTACATTTTAGACTCTTCTTCAACTTCTTGATGCTCGACAACTTGCTTTAAAGTTGATTGCAAATGTCACTTATGGTTACACATCAGCAAACTTCTCAGGACGAATGCCTTGTGTTGAGGTAACTTTGATCTTGTCATGATAGAAATTTAAACAAACGATAGCTCTCCCCATTCCATCTAAACAGACCGTGCGCCGTAAACTTTGTATTCATGATAGAAATTTAAACAAACGATAACTCTCCTCATTCCATCTAAACAGACCGTGTGCCGTAAACTTTGAATTAATTGATTGTATCTTTATTATATATATTATATATTTACCAATACACATATATATTTGAGATACAATAAATATATATATATATATTTTACAGATAATATTAAATATATAATATATACTAATATAGATACATGTTGATTATTATGATTATCGTGAGCCTGGACTAAGTCACATGCTCAGATTGAAAATCTATCAAGTGCTTATTGTCATACTGGATTCATTTTACTCTTAAAACCATCTGAATATTCTTTTCTGTTTTTCATCAGATTGCTGACGCCATTGTTCGTAAAGCACGCGAGACCCTGGAACGAGCTATTAATCTCGTGAACACAAGGGACGAGTGGGGTGCTCGTGTGGTATATGAGGACACCGGTAATCTTTTTGTATTAGTAAAGGGTGACAGTAAAGAGGAAGCGTTTAAGATTGGAAAAGAAATTTTTGATGCTGTTACTGCAGAGAATCCTAAACCTGTGAAACTAAAGTTTGAAAAGGTTTTTATCTACTGTAAAATTGTATCTATTTGAGAGATTTGGACTTTAAGATACATTTATGTATAACTAGGGATGATTTTTAGGTATATATGCCTTGTGTTCTTCAAACAAAGAAACGTTACGTTGGTTATATGTACGAAACATTAGAACAGAAAGATCCAGTGTTTGATGCGAAAGGAATAGAGACTCTACGGCGAGATACATGTCCAGCGGTCGCTAAGGTATGGAACAATCGACAATATTTACTGTGTCATCCAATCATACAAGTATCTGCAGGTGGGGGGGGGGAGGGGTAGTTTTGAGTTCAAAGCAGTCTGTGATTTTATTTTTCTAACAGATTTTAGAGAAGTCTTTAAGGATTTTATTTAAAGAAAGAGACGTGAGTCTTGTGAAGAAGTTTGTCCAGCGGCAGTTCGTTAAAATGATGAAAGATAGAGTATCGATTCAGGATTTCATCTTTGCTAAGGAATATCGTGGAATGAAAAGATATAAACCAAAAGCATGTGTTCCAGCTTTGGAAATTGCAAGGTTCATTTTATTGTTGAAATGAAAAGTCCTTTTTAGCTATATTGTTGTCATGATTACAGTTTTACTATTTTTTTTATAGACGTCATTTGTCACGTGATCGTCGCGCGCAACCTCGCGTGGGAGAACGTGTACCTTACGTCATTGTTAACGGCAGTCCTGGACTACCATCGATTCAATTGGTTAAAGAGTAAGTTCAAATGTTGCCGTCTTTCATTATTTTACGTTATGTATCATGACAAAAGCTGTTGGAATGTTATTAATAAATACTTTAGTATAAATATGATTGTCTTCATTAAACAATCTTCTTGTTTTAATTTTCTTCAGTCCTATTGATGTGTTAAATGATAAAAATCTACGCCTCAATACCATCTACTATGTTCAGAAACAAATACTTCCTCCATTGGATCGAGTTTTTTCCTTGATTGGTGTTGATGTGTTTTCATGGTATACACAACTACCCCGCTATATCCCTCGACATCGTGTTATTGCAAGGAAACAAAAAGTTAGTTGTCATAAGTACATTCATGAATTGATGTAAAAGCTAAATTAATTTATTTGAACAAATTTTAGCGTTCGATTTCTCGGTTTTTTACAACTCTACACTGTCCTGTATGTGAACAATTAACACAGCATGGTTTGTGTCAAAGTTGTCGTAGCAACCCTCAAAAGTCTGTCTTTATTCTGGCAAGTAGAGTGGGGAACTGGGAAAGAAAATACAGTCATCTTAAAGAGGTATGCATAATAAATAACCTAATAATTATGGTTTGTCTTTTTCATGACATTTAATTTTTTTTCATATTGTAGATATGTTTTCAGTGTTGTGGAGCTAGAGATGAACAACTGAGCTGTATATCACTGGATTGTCCTGTTATGTTTAAACTAGAGAAGTTAAAACAAATATGGAATATGGAATGACATTAAGAGACTTTCAAAAACAATTGAAGAAAGTTATGGTCAGTCAGAGGTAAACAATATAACCACCAAACGTTGATGGTATATTATCATCGTTGAAATCTTGATGAAATAGAGATTTCACATTTTTCACTAGAGCATTTTCTTGGCGAAGCACATTTGTTATAGATTTAACTTTGTGAGGTTAAACCAAAGGCGGCCCAAAAAATCACTTAAATTGTATAAATAAACGATAACTCGCCCCATTCCATCATAACAAACCGCTATTCTGTCAAGGATTGCCTATATATATACAGGTATAAATAAATATGAAATATTTTTTCAATTTAAATTTGGATGTACTAAACAATCTCATTTCATATTCATAAAATTTGTTATTCCACTAACCATTGTTTCATTGTAACTCATTTTTCGATATCATTTATATGCCAGATGCATTTAAAAGAAAAGATGAGATTTTTCTCATTTTCTTTTTTTTAAATGCATTTGGTTCATGTAAAATGCGACGTTTGACAGAACCTTAAATTATGACAACAGCATGGAATTATTCTGAGACATTGCACTTAAGGCATGCCTGAATTTTTGATGAGGGTGGCTGAGGCATGTCTGCGATGTTTTTCAATGCATAATTCAAATTCAAATCGCCACAAAAATTTAGCGGCAGTTTGAATTTGACAAAATAGTACTTCGTAATTTGAAAATAGCGTTACTAACAAATTCCGGCCCTTTAACAGTCATTTCAAAATGCATCAAAGATGGGAGAGCCGGTTTGAAAAAAGAGAATAATTTGTATTTTACTCTTTGTTTTTCTACTCTGGACACAATTTATCATAAATAGCTCGATAGTTTCGCATTGTATCCATAAGTTTTATTTTTATCGTGAAGTGATTGGAATTGTTCCATTGAGTCTTTTTTCCATGTCCTGTGTTGAAAATTCATCCGCCATCTTTTTACCCAAATGCATGATGGGAAATCGCCGGTCAATCTGAGAAACGTTCACATTTAACATAAATAACCAAAATAAGTTCTGTACACCGCCGTTTAGCCGTCGACATGCCGGGAAACTTGAACACAACTCAACTTTTACGGCATTTCAGCGGTATACTGCAGGTAACTCCTACGACTGCCTGAAACATCATTAGTGTGTCAGCGATGAGTTTTTACATTTGCCTTAAGAACAACGCAGGCATCATCACAGGTATGCCTCGGTCATGTCTCAGTCATATGTGAACCAGGCTTTACGCAAGCAGCAAACCTTAAAAATTTAAGCGTTGGCTCATAAAAAATGAAAATAAATGAGATGCAATTAACAAGTCATTTTTACTTGTGTACCATGTAGAATTATGTACACGCCTAAGAACTGACCAATCAGAAAACACACGCTTTCCGCAACTTGTGGCATATTTTAAGATCAACTCAAACTTTCAATGCGTTATTTAAGTCTCTACCTTTCTACATACACCAAGAATATTTGCCGAAAGCGAAATATCTCTTTCACTTTTTGATAACATGTTCAGGTAAATATGATTTTCGATATTCGTGTTAGGAGAGAACTCTCTCTTTGATTGAAGTGTGAAATGTAAACGACAATATCTTTATGCAAAATGTGTGACCTAAATATACGTCTTCTTATAAAGTTTTCGTTTTTGTTAATGTTAATTCTTTGCTTTTTTTTAGACATGAACATTTTTCTGTTAATGCGATCAAGAAACATAGAACAAATGTTGGTGGTTTTAATTCACCATGATGGAGGACTTATATAAATAAAGAAATTGATTATTGACCACGATGAAAACGTATTTGGCTTTTGTTCACCATTCCCTTGAGGCTGAGCTATTTACGAACTGATATTCTACTTCGTCAGAACTGCTTTATAACTGAGGAAATATTAAGATGGTAAGTATCTTTTTCCTCCTTCATCGTTTTTGACAGTAATTTTACAAGACGTATATATATTGTGAGTCCACCAGGCCGTTTACATGGCAAGCTATGAAAGGGAAATTAAAAGATTTTGCTCTTTAGCGATGTTTCAATCTCCAGTGTCTCCAACGATAACACGAAGTTTATCCACAGCAGCCTTAGATTTTGGGTCAAGTTTTGTTCCTACTGAGTTGGAAAACAATATTGCTGCGAACAGTGTCACAATCCCACTTACTGGTGTCACCATGTTGAAATTTTGACAGAATATGTTTGTCATGAGGTTTCTTTTTTGTTTTTTCAATATTGAACAACTTCTGACCACTGACGTTTGCATTTTCCCATTCTCCGTGGGATTTTTTGTAATGAGTGTCCCATTCTGAATAAAAGGTCAACAAGTTTCTTTTCAACAACATCTGTAAGTATTTCTGCAGATACGAGTTATTAATTTTTCTCTTGACTGCATCTAAAGGTTATAAAATTATTAATATCAAATTGGTTCTTTAATTAGAGTTTTGACAACTAAAATTGTTGAAGATCAAACATAGCTACGTACAGTTTTACTTGTACGTGTAAATGAATATTGAGGATGGCAGCTGAGAACAACGCAATTGCACATTTAAGTTTTCCTGCATTTAGGCATTTGGCTACATTTTGGCAGTAGCGTCGCCAGGATTTCATGAGTGGAAAGGCACAAAATTTGTACCAGGTCAGTCACTAGCGAAATGGCGCTAAAAATTGCTTCTGCACTGGGAAATTTTTGAAATGTTTATAACAACATGAATAGTTTCAATTTTATAACTTCCCAGTTTAACTACATGTTTGTAAATGATGATCGTCCAGGTTAATAAAGTCCTGAGAAGGACTGTTTTTTGTTGTTGACTGACGTTTCAACAACCTTAGTGGTAGTCATCTTCAGAGTCAAATGAGGAGTAAACGTCAGGTTAGCCGTGTTTGTTATCTGGTTCTTACGTCATTGTATTGTGTGTACATGAAATGTGTATTGTCATTGTGAATGTGCGAGAAAAATCGCCAGTAAATTGAAAGACAAAATAAGAGAAATAAACGGTGAGATCGATAGAAATGAATTGAAACAATTACGAGACGGGTTAAATGATAAAATTGCAACATTGAAAGTCTTTGATGAAACGGTTATCGAACCCTGAGCGAAATAATGGAAGAAAATGTGGAAGAAGAACTGGGTAAAGTTATAAAAGATGCGGATGAGATACGAGCGGATTTCGAGAGACTTATTTTGGATTCAAACGATATCATCAAGGAGTCAATTCCCCCAGTTGAAACGGCAACAAGGACATTGAACGACACATTAAATAGCAGTTCGAGTAGTGAGACGCAAAGAGTTATTCGAGCAAAACTCTTAAAGCTGAAAGTAAAGAAATTTAGCGGACGGTTACAGGAATGGCAAGAGTTTTGGGATTCGTTCGACAGTGCGGTGAATAGCAATGATGGATTGGCGGACGTAGACAAGTTTGCGTACTTGAGGAGTCTTTTACTCGAACCCGCAAGATCGACAATATCGGGATTTGCGTTAACTTCGGCGAACTATCACGAAGCAGAAGAATTATTGAAAAGTAGATACGGCAAAAAGAACGTGATCCATAAAGCACACATCCAGGAGCTGATGAATGTTAAATCCATAACGGACGAAGGAGATATCGACAAGCTACGGCGGTTATACGACACCTGCGAGACGAACTACCGTGGGTTAAAAGGCCTAGAGTGGACAAAGCTGCGTATTCAGCAATCGTAGTACCAGAAGTTATTGCGAAGTTACCGGACGGCTTTCGATTGACGATTACAAGAGGTCACTATTTCGCTGAGTGGTCAATGAAAGATGCGTTAAATGCGATTCTTAAAGAGTTAGAGCTTCGAGAAGCTCACAAGCCGATCGGAAAAAGGAGCAAGGGAAATGACGGGGAGAAACAAAGAGAAAGATCGAGACATTATAGACAAATCGGGTCGGCGTCAGCGCTTCACGCAAAACACGAAGGTCGCAACGAAGGGTCAACAAACGATAAAGCAGCACGAAACTGCGTTTATTGTCTCGGGGAACACAGACCGGAGGAATGTAAGAAAGTCATTGATTTAAATGAGAGAAAACAGCTGATTCGTAAGTGCAGAAGATGTTTTATTTGCTTGAAGAAAGGACATGTCAGTAAAATTGTAAAGTAATGATAAATGTAATGCATGTGGGAAGGCACACCATAGATCAATTTGTGAAGCGAATGGGATTCTTTCAGGCGATGTTCAAACCAACCATTCTACTTTGGGATCTCATTTTAGGGTAGCATTACAGAGAGCACAGGCTTTTATTAAGGGAGATAAGGGAAGTGTTAGAGTCAGAGTCTTATTTGATTCCGGAAGTCACGAGTCATTTGTGAAAGGTAAGATAATACAGAGCAGGCATTCAGCATGAAAGCTAGAAACGATTTAGATAACTTGCACTCAAGTAAACATCATTGCTCATGAAAGCTCTAAATTTGGATATGAATGTCAATTGCTTGTGGGATTTTGAACTTTATGAATAGTTAAAGAGACGAGATTCACGAGTCTTTGAAGGATGCGAAGACAACCAAGGTACGAGTTATTCATGATGCGTCATGTAAAGAGTCACCAAAGATTCCTCGCTTATTGGCTGTTTGCATGTGGGACCCAAATTAGCACCATTGTTATTTCACATTTTGATAAGGTTTAGGGAAAAAGAGTTGCGTTAGTGGCAGACATTGAAAAGGAATTTTGAACATTGCAGTTGACACTTTGGACAGGGATTGCCTAAGATTTTCATGGGTAGATGATGTGAATAGTGAAAGGGTAAGACCTGTGGAATACCGGTTTTGTAGAGTAATGTTTGGGGTTAATTGCTCTCCATTTTTGTTGAATGCAACGCTACAGTATCATTTAGACTCATTCATGGAAGTAGATAGAGAATTTGTTAGGAAACTCAGAGGCAGTTTTTATGTAGGATGACCTTGTGTCAGGTTATCAATCGAGGAAAGCAGCAATCATGTTATATGAGACAGCAAGTAAGCAAATGGCTGCAGGGGGATTTAAGCTTAGGAAGTGGCTCAGTAATGATGAGAGTGTTCTTAAAGAAATATAAAGGAGAGAAGGAAGCAATTTAGAAGGAGAAAGGTAGATGTAGTTATGAAGAATGTGGTTGATGATCAAACTTACGAAAAGCATCTGTTGGGGAAAATAGTAGTAGTGGAAGTTTTGAGAAGGTACTGGGATTGGGATGGGTGTGTAAATCAGATCAATTTGTGTTTTGCCTGTGGAAATTGGCTGAAAGAGCAAAACACTCATTCCTAGTAAGCGAAACATACTAAGTGTTCTTGCAGGATTATTTGACCCGTTGGGTATTGTAAGCCCAATCATAGTTTGTGTTAAGTTATTGTTTCAGGAGTTGTGTATTGAGAACATTGAATGGGATAAAGAGTTGGATGGTGACAGGAGGAAATGGTGGGAGGTGTGGATAGAAGAGTTAGAGCAAGTAAGGGACTTAGTAATGACGAGATGTGTTTATGGTAGTTTTATTGGTGAGACAAAAGTTACTTGCATGGGTATGCAGATGCCAGCCTGAAGGCATACTGTGCAGTAATATATTTCGTAACAGAACTAAATGGGGCTTATCATGTAGAATTGCTTACTGCGAAAACTAGGATAGCGCCACTGAAATCGCAGACCATTCCCAGATTAGAACTTATGTCGGCGTGGATACTGGCAGTGTTAATGGACACAGTGAAGTCAGCGTTGGGAGGATACGTACAGTTTATTGGAACATACTTTTGGTTAGACAGTATGACTGCATTGTGCTGGATCAGTAATAAGGGAGAATGGAAAAAATTTGTACGCCATAGAGTTAACGAAATTTTAAAATTGAGCAGAAAGGATGATTGGAGACATTGCCCAGGTGTAGAGAACCCAGCTGACTTAGGTTCTAGGGAGTTGCAGCATCGCAATTAAAGGAAGTGAGCTTTGGTGGAAAGGACCAAGGTGGTTGTCAGGTTCACAGTGCAAATGGCCAAGGGCAAAAGAGGTTAATAATACAGAGGAAAGTCTTGCTGAGGTAAAAAGGACTGCATTAGTTGCAACACAGGTAGTAGAGAGTTCAGTGAAGTTTTGGGATTTTAGTGATATGAAGGACTTGTAAGGGTCATGGCATTTGTTCAACGGTTTGTAGACAATTTGAAGGCAAAAGTTAAGTATGAGGCAGGGAATACGGGAGCATTGAGAGTATCAGAGCTGGTGATCGCAGAGCAAGTGTTGATAAAATGGGCTCAAAATGAAGTAAGGAAACGTAGTGATTATGAGCAAATAGTCAGACAATTGAACATAGTGGAGCGTAATGGAATGATTAGATGTAAGGGTAGACTTGGCAATTCAGAGTTAGAGTTAGAAGCGAGGGAACCAATTTTATTGCCTAAGGATCACCACTTACCAGAATTAATCATTAAAGATTGCCATAGGAAGGTTCACCATAGTGGGGTGAGAGCGACCTTTGCTCAGCTAGACAGCAAATTTTGGGTGCCTCGAGGTAGACAGTTTGTGAAAAGGGTGATTGGTAATTGTATGATTTGTAGAAGGCATCAAGGCCAGGCTTACAAAACACCAGTGCAAGCAGATCTGCCAGACTTTAGAGTACAATATTCCCCTCCCTTTTCTAAGGTAGGTGTGGATTTTGCGGGACCATTGTTTGCAAAAGAAGGTGGGCAGATGGTTAAGGTGTACATTGCATTATTTTCTTGCTGTGTGACAAGAGCAATTCATCTTGACTTAGTGGATAGTTTAAGAGCACGTTGTTTTTTGAATTGCATGCGAAGGTTCACCGCTAGAAGGGGAACACCTTCGCTAATGGTTTCGGACAATGCCAAGACGTTTAAAGCAACTGAGAAAGCATTGAAGGGGATTTATGATAGCAAGGAGGTGAAATCATTTTTGGAAGTTAATAGGTTGGTGTCGAAATTTAATTTGGCAAGGACACCTTGATGGGGTGGATTTTTTGAAAGAATGAAAGCGTTGGTGAAAGGTTGTCTGAGGAAGATATTGGGTAATGCTAAATTGAATAGGGAAGAACTGTTGACGACATTAGTAGGTAGAAGGTACGTTAAACTCAAGACCATTGACGTATGTGTACGATGATGAAGTAAATGTGGATGTACTGACTCCTTCCCATCTCATGTTTGGAAGACAATTAGCATCTATTCAAGACGAGGAAGTTCAAAACGTTATTAGGGATGAAGATGAAGGAGAGATAAAACGTAGGTTTAGATATTTAGCGAAATTGATGACACATTTTTGGTCAAGGTGGAGGAAGGAGTTCTTAAAAAATTTAAGAGAATACCAAAAAGTCGGAATAGGAAGGGGTTTTTAAAGGGCAGCCAGCCTTTTACAGGCAAGATAGCTCAAAAATTAAAGATTTATAATTTAGGAAGTTAAGAAAATCGATAAACAGAGTTTCTCTAAAATTGTCAGCGTTCCAACTTTGAAACGTTGTCAATGAAGTTTTGTCATTTTGTAAACTTTTGATGCGGATAAACAAATAATTTGATCAGGGGCGTGAGAAGCAAGTAAAAGTTTGGGGCTTAAGTTTTAGGGCAGTCTTCATTTAAAAAGGGAATTTCAAAGTAATTACTCTCGAAGTCTCTAATTTTGAATAGTTTGTCACATCTCAGTAATCAGAGACACTTCATCATGCAAAGTTTTGTCATTTTGTGAACTTTTGACGCAAACAAATATTTTAAATAGTCTATCTTACAACAAGTTGAACAAATATAGACCAAAAATATAATCACGTGTACTATCACGTGAAAAAGTGATCTTTTCACTCCAATAAAGCGCAATTTTAAAGACATACCTAGCAAATCGTTTTTATGTCATCATCTGTGGTACGAATAAGATGAAGAGATAGATGACTGTTTAAAAGGAAAAAATTCTTCTTGATAAAAGCCATGTTATAAAAATAAAATCATTCCGCATTTATGAGATGCATAACTGAAATTCTGTGACGTGTCATGATTTTGATTCATCTTGTTGATTTTAGCCCTGCCGTACCAATGATATTTGAAAAGACTAGCAAAATTAATTGTTGGTGATAATGCAAGAAAGGTCAGTATTTTGAAATGATAAATTATCCAATGTGTTATTGGGAAAATCCCACCAAAATCAACAGATGTATCAATATAAAACATATGAAGCGCGAATTCCACCAAGAAAATGACATTCAGGTTTTAATGACAAATATAACAAAATTTTAGACATAAGAACAAACAATGACACTATGATAGGTAAACTTTATAATCAACATACCTTAACCAATTCAGAAAGATTAAAGAAGACACAACCAGCTACGTGATGCCCTTGCTTCTGCTTGATAATAAAGAAATCGGAATGTTCAATAAATGTTCAATTTTAATCACCTGCTGTTTTTATTGTAAAATATTGAATTCTGTTCATACCCAATAAAATATGAAATGCAAATTTTTTATTTTAGCTATGACTGAAGTAAACACAAAGAAGTTTTGACTTGGAAACTTTATGCCAATAAACCTTTAACAGTTTACTGTTATTTATTTCAATTATTGAACATCCGGACTTACATGCAAACTAACTGAAATAATCATAAAGGAAGACGGGCAGCCAGCCTTTTAAAAGTAAGATAGCTCAAAAATTATAGATTTATAATTTAGGAAGTTAAGAAAATCGATAAACAGCGCTTCTCTAAAATTCTTAGCGTTCCAACTTTGAAACGTTGTCAATGAAATTTTATCATTTTGTAAAGTTTTGATACGGATAAACAAATAATTTGATCATGGGAGTTAGAAGCGAGTAAAAGTTGGGGGGCTCAAGATTTTAGGGGCAATCTTTATTTAAAATTGGAATATCAGAGTAATTAATCTCGAAGTCTCTAATTTTGAATAATTTTGTCACATCTCAGTAATCATGGATACTACAAAACTGATAACGTTTGGACTTGACACTTCATCATGCAAAGTTTTGTCTTTTGTGAACTTTTGACGCAAACAAATATTTCAAATAGTCTATCTTACAACAAGTTGAACAATAATAGACCAGAAAAATCACGTGTACTATCACGTGAAAAGTGAGCTTTTACTCCAATTAGGCGCAATTTCTAAAGACATACCTAGCAAAACGTTTTTATGTCATCATCTGTGTCAAAATAAGATAAATAGATAGATGACTATATAAAGAGGAAAAATTCTTCTTGATAAAAGCCATGTTAGATAAAGTTAAAATCATTCCGCATTTATGATATGCATAACTGAAATTCTGTGACGTGTTATGATTTTGATTTATTTTGTTGATTTTTTAACCCTGCCGTACCAATGATATTTGAAAAGACTAGTGAAATTAAGTGTTGGTGATAATGCAAGAAAGGTCAGTATTTTGAAATGATAAATTATCCAATGTGTTAATGGGAAAATCCCACAAAAATCGACAGATGTATCAATATAAAACTTATGAAGCGTGAAGTCCACCACGAAAATGACATTCATGCTTTTTATGACAAATATAACAAAATTCTAGACATAAGAACAAACAATGACACTATGATAGGTGGACTTTAGAATCAACATACCTTTACAAATTTAGAAATATTAAAGAAGACGCAACCAGCTACTTGATGCCCTTGCTTCTGTTTGATAATAAAGAAATTGGAATGCTCAATAAATGTTCAATTTTAATCACCTGCTGTTTTTATTGTGAAATATTGAATTCTGTTCATACCCAATAAAATATGAAATGCAAATTTTTTATTTTAGCTATGACTGAAGTAAACACAAAGAAGTTTTGACTTGGAAGCTTTATGCCAATAAACCTTTCACAGTTTACTATTATCTATTTCAATTATTGAACATCCTGACTTACATGCAAACTAACTGAAATAATCATAAAGGAAAAAGGGGAACCAGCCTTTTACAAGTAAGATAGCTCAAAAATTAAAGATTTATAATTTAGGATGTTAAGAAAATCGATAAACAGAGCTTCTCTGAAATTCTCAGCGTTCCAACTTTAAAACGTGGTCAATGAAATTTTATCATTTTGTAAACTTTTGATACGGATAAACAAATAATTTGATCAGGGGCGTGAGAAGCAAGTAAAAGTTGGGGGGCTTAAGATTTTAGGGGCAGTCTATTTAAAAAGGGAATTTCAAAGTAATTAATCTCGAAGTGTCTAATTTTGAATAATTTTGTCACATCTCAGTAATCATAGATACTACAAAACTGATAGCGTTTGGACTTGACACTTCATCATGCAAAAATTTGTTATTTTGTGAACCTTTGACGCAAACAAATATTTCAAATAGTCTATCTTACAACAAGTTGAACAATTATAGACCAGAAATAAATCACGTGTACTATCACGTGAAAAGTGCTTTTACTCCAATAAGGCGCAATTTCAAAGACATACCTAGCAAAACGTTTTATGTCATCATCTGTGTCAAAATAAGATAAATATAGATGACTATATAAAAGAGGAAAAATTCTTCTTGATAAAAGCCATGTTAGATAAAATTAAAATCATTCCGCATTTATGATATGCATAACTGAAATTCTGTGACGTGTCATGATTTTGATTCATTTTGTTGATTTTTAGCCCTACCAAAATATTTGAAAAGAAAAGTGAAATTAATTGTTGGTGATAATGCAAGAAAGGTCAGTATTTTGAAATGATAAATTATCCAATGTGTTATTGAGAAAATCTCACGAAAATCAACAGATGTATCAATATAAAACATATGAAGCGTGAATTCCACCACGAAAATGACATTCAGGTTTTTTATGACAAATATAACAAAATTCTAGACATAAGAACAAACACTGACACTATGATAGGTGAACTTTATAATCAACGTACCTTAACAAATTTAGAAAGATTAAAGGAGACGCAACCAGCTACGTGATGCCCTTGCTTCTGCTTGATAATAAAGAAATCGGAATGTTCAATAAATGTTCAATTTTAATCACCTCCTGTTTTTATTGTAAAATATTGAATTCTGTTCACACCCAATAAAATATGAAATGCAAATTTTTATTTTAGCTATGACTGAAGTAAACACAAAGAAGTTTTGACTTGGATTCTTTATGCCAATAAACCTTTCACAGTTTACTATTATTTATTTCAAATATTGAACATCCTGACTTACATGCAAACTAACTGAAATAATCATAAAGGAAGACGGGCAGCCAGCCTTTTAAAAGTAAGATAGCTCAAAAATTAAAGATTTATAATTTAGGAAGTTAAAAAAATCGATAAACAGAGCTCTTCAGAAATTCTCAGCGTTCCAACTTCGAAACGTTGTCAATGAAGTTTTGTCATTTTGTAAACTTTTGATACGGATAAAAAAATAATTTGATCCGGGGCGTGAGAAGCAAGTAAAAGTTGGGGGGCTCAAGATTTTAGGGGCAATCTTTATTTAAGAAGAGAATATCAGCGTAATTAATCTCGAAGTCTCTAATTTAGAATAATGACAAATGCATATCAAACTCATCAACACTTTGTTACGCCACATGTAATTAAACTGTCATTGTTGGAGATGTTTTTATTCTTCTCCACAACTTTGTGTCTGCATATTTTGTGCATAAACATTGCTGTAGTATTTATGACAGACATTGTACTTCGTAGATTGAGGTAGAAGAAATACTTTAAAATGAAACTTCCAAAAGTGACACAAAATCAAGCGGCCAAGTTAAAGATAGCTTGATGAAATTGAACCTAGTTCATGTACCTAGCGTACGCTCGAGAGTTTTGGATGAGGACTTGTTGACCAATGAAAACACTCATGATTTCAAGCATGTTGACGACGATGAAAGCTCTAGCGAGGACGAGGCTCCAATGCAAAAACAACCATTAATACTAAGGAGTCTACTGAAGATATGTTAAAAAGAAATATCGATGAATTACATCTACAGTTTGGAAGCTAGTTGGCTCACATGGTATATAGTTGTGGGACCTGCTAAAAATATGTAAAAATAACTTCCAGCGTCTCTCCTTTAGGACGAAGAATCTGATTTGAAATTGAAGAGGAAGCTATCACCAAAAGAGATTTGCCAGAAAATTCAAAGTTTACTCCCCAAGGTTTTTACATGCAGATGGAGTATTGTGAGAAGAGTACTCTAAGGAATGTTATTGACGAGGATAGTACAAGGACCAACAGAGAATGTTGCGGCTTCTCTGGGAGATTGTAGGAGGATTAGTTCACCTTTATTCACAGGTAGAAAATTTCCATTACTGTTGTAGCCAATGTGGTTGTGCTACTGCTAGAAATAAAGTTGAAGATCACATTCAACGTCTTAAAACATTTAACCGTCCGCCTGTTGTGCATACTTGTGGTCCTTTACTTGAAGTTTTAAGCACCTATCAGCGCTACAATGAATTAGTTGATGAGTTTCATCCATTTTTTACAAGAAAAGTTCATGGACGTTTGATATTGTCTAGTGGGGACGTTAAAGTCATATCTTTGTATCTAAATATTATATGACATTGCAATATTGTATTTGTTGTTTGTGGTGAAATCCATAATATACTGTGGAAACCATTTATTTACCAGCTGATTGGTTAATTAACTGTATTATGTAAAAAGTATAAATACCTGCTTTAGTTTAGCATTCAGTCTGGATATTTTTTTGGCAACAACCATGTAGGATTTTTCATCACTTCCTTAACAGTATTGTAACGTATAAGAGTGCTTGTAGTTTTGTTTTAATAATTCCCACTAAAGTAATACTATATTGCTTCTTCCATCTTGAGAATGTAAGCTCGAAATATTAAACTGCCTGCAAATTGTGATGTAAACTGTCTACTTATTGTTTTGTCATTGTTAAAGTAAGCAGAATATGGACTGGCGTTAGTGTATTTCCATTTGTGTTCGTGTAGTGTACTTATGGGCCACCATGTCTACCACAGAACGTATCCTGATCTATTTTACCATTAACACCCGGGAATCGATTTTGCTCCACAAAAGACATTTTAGACTAAGGATTATAATTATATGACGATGCCACCGCGCGTGTATTGACCAAGGTAGGGCAAGGAATATATAAAAGTGTACCATTGTAATTTACTGCGTACAAACGTAGTTTTATAAATGCACTTGGTCTCACTCTGTTTGAAGTACAAATCAGTAGAAACTTTCCTTATATCGTCATTTCCTTGTAACAAATATTTGAGATCATGCTTGCCTGTAAATAATCACTTTGCTTAAATCCTTTGGGCTGTTTGTTTATATTGTACTGTCTGCCATCAGTTGTCAAACTCTTTGTATCAGGCAGTGGGGTCAAGTTATGCATGCTTTTTTACATTTTGTCCCTGGTAGACAGGGAATCAAGTTGTGGATGTGTGTTCACTCTCTTCATCTCTGACAGGGGGTCTGGTATGCATGCATTGTTCACACATTGTCTCTGACAGGGGGGTCAAGTTGTGCATGCATTGTTCACATATTGTCTCTGACAGGGGGGTCAAGTTGTGCATGTATTGTTTACATATTGTCTCTGACAGGGGGGTCAAGTTGTGCATGCATTGTTCACACATTGTCTCTGACAGGGGGTCAAGTTGTGCATGCATTGTTCACACATTGTCTTTGACAGGGTGGTCAAGTTGTGCATACATTGTTCACACATTGTCTTTGACAGGGGGTCAAGTCGTGCATGCATTGTTCACGCATTGTCTTTGACAGGGGGGTCAAGTTGTGCATGCATTGTTCACACATTGTCTCTGACAGGGGGTCAAGTTGTGCATGCATTGTTCACACATTGTCTTTGACAGGCAGCCAGTTCACACCACTTTGAGTACCATTATACATGGTGATGCTGAACATTTTGATAACTGTGCTCATTAATTTGTCACGTATTCACTTTGACTTTGGTTTATTAAATATGTAAGCTGATCAAAAGCTTATTCAATGTTTAATTTTAATGCAGCTGTTGTGGGTCATCATTTTGTAAATTAAAAAACCTTCAACATTCTTTTGGTTTATCATTTCTAGTCTGGTTTGGCATGGGCAAGAGCATCAGCTGCAGTTATTAATTTCAATTGCTTTTTAATTCTTCTTCCTGTCTGTCGAAACATGTTGTCATTTCTTCGAGGTGTAGATGTAAGTAAGTCAAATAGTTGTCATGGTTACAACACATAAGTAATTGCTAGCATATGTTCGATGCTCTTGAGAAATTATTTGTTAAGGTTATTTGAGTTAAATATACATAAGTGTAACATGATAAAATAGTATGAAGTTTAATGAAACTGGAATTTGAGAGGAAAATTAAAAACTTAAGGTTTTTAAAGAGATTTTAAATACAGTGGCTGAAGAATTTTAGTATTTTTATGTTTGTAGCGTTTCAGGAACTGTGGGGTCAGAGAGACATCCCACCCCCTTACACTTTTTCCATAGAACATATATTTATTGGTTAAAAGTCAGCATGTCATTTCTAAACTATAAAATATATTCTTATGCCTTTCTTTCCCCTCTTAAGCAACCTTCATGGTCACTTTATCAAAAGTTCATACCATTATGAAAAATATAAAGAAAATAAATTGCTCTACATGTGTAGTTCTGAGGATTAACTATTGTGTTGAATATAAATTTGAAGTATTACTCCAGTAACTTTACAAAGCTCAGAGCATCGATATGAAGTATTACTCCAGTAACTATACAAGTTCAGAGCATCCATATGAAGTATTACTCCAGTAACTATAAAATGTTCAGAGCATCCATATGAAGTATTACTCCAGTAACTATACAAAGTTCAGAGCATTCATATGAAGTATTACTCCAGTAACTGCAAGCAGAAGAACAACTGCAAGCACTATTAGACCAGGTTGTGGAAGCGAGCGCTGAAATGGGCCTGACTATCAACTGTGATAAAACCAAATCGATGGTAGTCAGCAAACTTGCAGAAAAGCCCCACTGTTACTTGAGAATTGGCAACGACCATATTGAGGAGAAGGAAAGCTTCAACTACCTTGGAAGTCTGCTGACGACCGATGTGAGATGCAAAAGGAAGTGAAGAAGAGAATTGCTGTTGCAAAATTGAAATTTCAAGAGATCCATCTTTGTCAACCGAAACTTATCAATGCCACTCAAAATACGATTACTCAAATGCTACATTTGGTCAATCTTGACTTACGGCTGTGAAGCCTGGACTCTAACTGCTGACCTGAGAAAAACTTAGAAGCAGCAGAAATGTGGTTTTGAGAAGGAAAGTGTCATTTATTGATCACGTCTCAAATGAAGAGGTTATGAGAAGAGCCGGTGTGAAGAGAGAACTACTCTCGTAATAATCGAGAGACAACTTCGTTTTCTTGGCCACGTAGTTCGGAAGGAAGGCCTGGAATGTGTTGCGCTGCAAGGAAAATCGAAGGAAAAGAGCACGAGGCCGTCAACGCATAACGTATTTGGACAGAGTTAAGAAAGTTACCGGAATCGCCAACACTGCAGAAATCTTTGCCTGTGCTCGTAACCGTCAACGTTGGAGAGACATGGTAGCCCAAGCATGCATCATGCATGGCACCTGAACAGAACAGAACTCCAGTAACTATACAAAGTTCAGAGCATCCATATGAAGTAAAGCTGTCAATGATAACCTAACCATAGAATTTAAGACATTTTTATGACATAATTTTTTTGTGATATTTCAACTTTAGTGTTGTGGAATGGGTCACAATTTACAACGTTTACTTGATAAAAATATCACATTTCATCGAGTCATTGCCTACGCGATTTGTTTCTTCACCAGTAAGTTGTTCTTCATGTATAAACTTTTACTAAATAATGGAAAAATCAAGACATCATGAAAAAGTTTTGAAAATAGAATTTTTGAAAAATAGGGTTTTGTTATTGGGTGTGGTATCTCAAAAGGAATAATATCCCCCTCCCCCTCCTCCCACCCCCTTCCCATATGGCTATTGGATACGTAAAGTTTTGTTTCATGTTTAAATTTAATGTATTAAAGTTGATTTAAAAATAAGATGATTGAAATTCTAAACATTTTTAAGTATGGAAAAATACTTTGTCTGTTTACATAAATTTCAGCCATTCACATCGGAGCACATCTTTTCAACTTTGAGAATCTTATTGATGCTTATGGTCGTGGCTCTAAGGATCTACCGTTTCATTTAAGTGATCTGGGGGATTCTGGGAATGATACTTACATAAACCCTATAAGAAAACAAGACGCAGTAAGACCGCCTGACGTCATCAATAATTTTATTCATCACGTGACCATTAACATAATATTACGTCATTATTTTTACAGGACCCTCCAACTGAAGTCTTAAGACTGGTAACTATACTTTTACTTACGAAACTGAGAACCTTAGATAACATGAAAACATGACAAGATTTACGCTGTGTAATTTAAAATTTTAATCTTGATTTGTGGGAAGAATTCGCTTTCCTTTGCACTTGGTGTAAATGCGACGTTGAATTTTAACCAAAAACAAGATAGAAACTTGTTTGTAAATTTTCAGGTTTCAATACTCGTTATTTTTGCTTATTGTATCATCTAAAGCTTTCTATAAATTGTGAAAGTCATAATTAACATTGAATTGTCGTTGCTTTAAAACTACTATTCACTTTTCCTTTTTTCATTAGTTGCAGGTGTTTCAGGCTTTATAATGACATTAGTACTGGTACTCATGGTAAAAAATTTATATATTGAACATTTTAGATACGTAAAACATTTGCTTTTACGCCGAAAAAAATATCTTTGTTTCATGATTTGATTTTTTTTTGTCAACTTCTGTTTGTTATAGCTACTAAATCATCAACATTTTTTGCTCATTCAACTCAATTCCTTTCCCTGACTTACTACGTACAACAGCTTTAGTTTCATCTTATGTCATACATCTTTATTGCAAATATATTTTGCCTAGATGGAAACAAATTCTTTTCATGAATACTACTGCACAACAATTAACTTAGAACTTTAAAATAAGCCCGTTACATATTACATAATTAACGGCCTTTTTCGAAATTTCATCTTGGGCATTCTTGTTTGATTCCTATTTTGATTTCTGTTTTCTAGGTTACGTCATCAACAGGACTTCTAAGGTGTGAAATGATTGGTTTTTTCATCCACCAATCATCTGCTCACAAACGTGAATTTCTTGCAGACGTTCGTATTTTGAATTCTTTTGGTTCACCTATCATTTATTTATTATTTTCTTTGTTGGTTTGATTGTTCATAGCATGCAGTAAGTTGGAAAAATAACATCGACTTGTTACTCTAAGGAACATCATTTGATCTAGTCCCCAGGCTCTTCTCTTGCAATAGCTCGTACTAATCTTTTTTTAGAGGTTTAATACGTCGACAGACAAATGTTAAGGATCACGATCCTGAATTTTGTCAATTATCACCAAACTGTCAAATTGATCCTCATTTTGAGTCCGCAGGACCACAGGTCAGCAAATCTGTTGTTTAAATCAACATGGAAACGTATCAAATAGAGATATTTTCTTATTTTAGTCGCGGAAGTGGATAGTAGCTCCGTTGTCATTATATTTCATTGAAAGATTTATTCGTTTTCTTAGATCTTTACAAACTGTCACTGTAACCAAGGTGACTGTTTTGCTGTCGTCATTAAACCATTCCACCAATACGACTATCCATTTCTTTATTGTTGTTGTTATTTAAAGATTGTGAAACATCCATCAAATGTTATTGAAATTCAAATGAAGAAATCTGGGTTTTCATATTTACCTGGTCAGGTTAGGTCATAAAATGTTCACATATTTCTTCATAACCGTCATTTTTATGCATTTTTCACTGCTTCAGTGTACACCAATAATGATTTTGTTGTGCAAAAATATTATGTTGACTGTCAATGGTTTGATTATTGAGGGACTGGGGCTTTCTTAATTATTGAAAAATAACTTTTTCGCTGTGATCTTTGATCTGACGTTCTACATTTATTATAAATTATTCATTGTCGTATTGTACAAAATGTGACATTTTGACATGCTATGGTCAGCGAGTTGTTGATTTCTCAGGTCAACGGTGTTCTTTCTTTAAATTTTTGGACCCCTTCTCGAGGCCTTCCCTGTAACCGACATCTTGTGGACAGTCATTCATTCATATGTTTTATAAACTTTATTTTACAGTATGTGTTTCTTCAATGTCCAAAATTTCTCATTTGGAATGGCATCCATTTACTTTAACCTCCGTACGTGCTTACATTTGTCGCTAACATAAAGTATTTGTCCATCGACGTATATGTACAACTATAAACTTTATTTAGAGCCCAGAGCAAGAGACGTTTAGCGTTCATATTCGCACTGCTGGCGACTGGACAAGTTTGTAGTTTGACTCTGAAACTTTTTCATCATTATTGACTAATTTTATGAAAATTCTTCTTTTGTGTAGTTGCTCTATCAAATACCTGCACTGGAGAGGAATAGAAACAAATAATCTTAATGTTGTACCAAAGTTTACTATATTCTTACTACAGGTATTGTTGTTATCTTTACAAAAGTTCAAAAATATTTTATGATTAGGATAGAGATGACACAAAAAAAACCCAATAAAATCACACTTCTAGTCAACTATTGTTTTGATCGACGAAAATTGAAGTCAATGACGAAAGATAAAACAAATCCATGTTTTAAATAATTATTAAAGCGTATTATATTTGAGATATAGAAACAAATTTAATGCTAATTAAGGGTTTCAAAATCTAGTACAACTTGATTAACAGCGGGTAAAACAGTGCTCTATGCTTTTATTTCTTCCAAATGCGTCACAGTGTAGTTAAACACCTCGATCGATTTCAGCGTAGTGAGCGTACACTTGATGATCTTTGCAAATTTTTTGTAATCAAAATATCTTACAATATGTCTCAAAAGAACTGGTCATCTTTGAAATCAGCCGATAGTTTGAAATTTGCATGATTCAGCGGCAATGATTGATCTCCACGCTAGGAGGTATAAGTGTAATTAAAATAAGTTTCTTGACTGGGATTTTTAATGCATTGTAGCTTCTATATTATACGTATGTAGTTATTAATTTATTATGTATTTAACTACGTTTAATTAAGTCTCCTTGAAGATCAATTTTTGCTGAATCATGGAAATTGTAAATGTCAGATAATTTCAAATATTGTCAAGGTTGAAAAATGAGACATCACCATGAAATATGTGAAAGTCAGTCAACAAACCAGCAAAATCAAAGTGAAGCACCTTTCATGTTGATGGGAAAATGCTCAAATGTGAAAGAATGCGACTTTGATCAAAATTTTTCAACGCGCTTGCATTTCACTCATTTTCCTTCCAAATCTCAACAAACAACATAGCATTCCATAGCTAGAACCTAGAACTCTTTTTTAAATATTTAAAACTACAGTTATTTATTCAGTAATTTACACACATCAGCAAAAAAGTTGGATTACCTTTTTTGAAACACCCTGTATCAAGAACTTAGATCCCAGACCGTGGGGTTCCCTTTGGATAAATCAACTTAAATGTATATTTTATTAAATACGTGTATAATTTACGGAAAATAAAAAAATAAGAATCAAAGGAAGATATCAGAATTCAGCCTCTAATAACACCATGACAACTCGTAGCGTATAGCAAGTCTACCAGTGCTATGAAAATAAATATTTTGTTGTTCAATTACTTTTTCGTTACTCACTACACTACATATGAGATGACAACAGTAAATATGGGCCAGACACACATAATTAGAGTAAAAGCCCCATTTTTCTTCGCTACATCACTACCTAAAACATACATAAAGATAAATTACATTGTCAGGTGGTCACCAATGCCAGATCTATCAAAACGCTTGTCAGCAAAGGATTTTTATTGTGTTTAGTCTACAGAAAAGAACGGATTTGTGGCTCCATTTTAAGGAGCAAGATGCTTTGTTAGCCCTGGCTTTTGGGTATGTTTTCTTTCTCCTTTAGCTGACCAGCAACAGTTGTATTTTCAATTTCTGTAAGCAAAGGTTTAAATGGAGTGTTTGTTTGGTTCTTTTTGTTGTTTAATAAGAAAAATCTTAACATGAGCATTATATACATGTAAAATTTATAGTGCTTAGTAAGTTTTCTAAAAAGCCCAAACATTGGCTTTGCTGTGTAAATATACAAATTTCTGTTCACTGTGATAAATGGTAAAATAGAATTTGTATTTAAAAGAATTGGGTATGGAGAGAAGGTCAATAGTTTGGTTACTTGATTCAACATTTCTTTCTATTTACAGTTGGGGATTTACACCTTAATTGTTGTGACAATGTTCTTTTCTCACTTACATTTAAATGTTGTAAATCTCATTTTTAATTTATATTTGATTTTCTTGGGATCACAGATAACCACAACATTTTGTATTGTGATTTTGTGGTAAAATCATTTATGTAGCTGGGAGAACCAGTTTCAAAGCAATGTAAAGTATAAACTATAGCAAAAGCAAGACATGAATGTCATAGCAATGAAAATGACTCATTACTGTCCATATCAGTAGTAAAGACACCAGTAGAAATGACTCATTTACTGTTCTTATTAGTTGTAAAGACATTAGCCAAAAATGTCTGGTCATGTCATTCACTCTTAAACATGGATACATACTTTAAAGGAGGGTGTTGACCTAGAAATATATTCCTAATATAAACTTTTTATAGTTTGTACACAAATTCTCTAATGTTCAAATAATGTTTTGGAAAAAATAAGAAGTTCCTTGCAAAATGAAATACTAACTGTTACACACAATGCCAGAGCTCTTCAAGATGCCCTGGGAATAAATGGCATAGCAGACTCTTTATTTTGGGTAGGAGGCACATATTCATATATTCAAGTTCTGCCACATTAAGTTCCTTGAAATCCATTGTTTTCAACAAATTAAGACATGCATATATGAATTTGTGCCCCCAATTAACAAGTATCCTGCGCCACTGCTGGGATTTTTTAAATATTAGTAAATCTGGTTGTCTAAAATCTGGTAGTCGGACAGTTAAATGTGTCATTGTCTCTTCTGTTAATGCTATGGCAATGATATCCTGCTTTTTCTTCTTCAGGTTATTTATAACTTTTACTTTACATTGCCTTTATAGTTTGAACTATAAAAAAGTATTATTAAATCAATCATTAAATAAATGTTTCCTCCAAAGTAAAAAAAAACAAACATTGTCATGACAATTCAGGTGTTAGTCCCCAAATCAAGTATGATTAAATCAAATAACAATAACTGCATGTCCATTTCAAACAACTACAATTCTCATAAATAGAAAGTATATTTTGTAAATTATATGAATGAATAGAAATAAATATAGAAAAGACTGTATTCATACTTATATAGCAAAGAAAATCTTGTGGGCTTTTCAGCATTTCAAAATGGGATGTTACATGATCATGGTTGCTGTAAGATCAGTATTTACTCTCCTTATACAAGAAAATGACCCAACAACATTCATTTTAAGGAACTTCACAACTTGTGAATAGCTAGATATTGTAAACTAAACTCGTAAATATACTTTGATAGTTCCATACAAGTTTCTTAATAAAAACTGTTCCAGTGAATAAATGACAGTTGAAAACTTGAAAATACAAATGTTTGAATATTGTCAATATTATATTTATACCTTTTATAAATATACAACTGTTGTTATTTGAACATTTGTTAAATGAAATCTACAATACAACTGTTTCTAATCATCTTTAGTATAAAGAAGACATACTTAAAATGAAAAGAGAAATTGATTTTCTTCTTTATTGAAAATGAGCTACAAATTCATTTCCTCTACTTCTATCTCCTTGTACGTTTTCTCAAAGACAGGAGTATTTTAGCTTCTAGCAAATAAAAGATAAATAGAAGTCCAAATACTTCAGTTTCAATTTCTATAGTTTGTTTATAACCACATGACGATTGTTGTATATTATTGCAGTGCATGTTCAGGTCCAAATGCTTTCGTTTTAATTTCTTTCGCTCTTTCTTTAAACTCTTTTGCTTTTTCGTACTCTCCCATTTCACGGTAAACCAAACCTAGATTGTTGTACGTTCTCGCAATATTAACATGGTCAGGTCCAAATGCTTTCGTTTCAATTTCTATCGCTCGTTCATAAAAATCTTTTGCTTTTTCGTACTTTCTCATATGTTTGTAAACCAAACCCAGATTGTTGTACGTTGTCGCAATATTAACATGGTCAGGTCCAAATGCTTTCGTTTCAATTTCTATCGCTCGTTCATAAAAATCTTTTGCTTTTTCGTACTCTCCCATATTATAGTAAACCGAACCCAGATTGTTGTACGTTGTCGCAATATTAACATGGTCAGGTCCAAATGTTTTTGTTTCAATTTTCATCGCTCGTTCATAAAAATCTTTTGCTTTTTCGTACTCTCCCATATTATCGTAAACACAACCCAGATTGTTGTACGTTGTCGCAATATTAACATGGTCAGGTCCAAATGCTTTTGTTTCAATTTTCATCGCTCGTTCATAAAAATCTTTTGCTTTTTCGTACTCTCCCATTTTACTGTAAACCGAACCCAGATTGCTGTACGTTGTCGCAATATTAACATGGTCAGGTCCAAATGTTTTGTTTAATTTCTATCGCTCGTTCATAAAAATTTTTGCTTTTTCGTACTCTCCCATATCTTCGTAAACCAAACCCAGATTGTTGTACGTTGTCGCAATATTAACATGGTCAGGTCCAAATGTTTTGTTTCAATTTCTATCGCTCGTTCAAAAAATCTTTTTTTTCGTACTCTCCCATTTTATGTAAACCGAACCCAGATTGTTGTACGTTGTCGCAATATTAACATGGTCAGGTCCAAATGTTTTCGTTTCAATTTCTATCGCTCGTTCATAAAATCTTTTGCTTTTCGTACTCTCCCATTTTTCTGTAAACAAACCCAGATTGTTGTACGTTTCGCAATAATATACATGGTCAGGTCCAAATGTTTTGTTTTAATTTCTATCGCTCGTTCATAAAATCTTTTGCTTTTTCGTACTCTCCCATATCTTTGTAAACCAAACCCAGATTGTTGTACGTTGTCGCAATATTAACATGGTCAGGTCCAAATGCTTTTGTTTGAATTTCATCGCTCGTTCATAAAAATCTTTTGCTTTTCGTACTCTCCCATATTATGTAAACTGAACCCAGATTGTTGTACGTTGTCGCAATATTAACATGGTCAGGTCCAAATGTTTTTGTTTGAATTTCTATCGCTCGTTCATAAAAATCTTTTGCTTTTTCGTACTCCCCCATATTATAGTAAACTGAACCCAGATTGTTGTACATTGTCGCAATATTAACATGGTCAGATCCAAATGCTTTTGTTTGAATTTTCATCACTCGTTCATAAAAATCTTTTGCTTTTTCGTACTCTCCCATATGTTTGTAAACCAAACCCAGATTGTTATAAGTTGTCGCAATATTAACATGGTCATGTCCAAATGTTTTCGTTTTAATTTTCATCGCTCGTTCATAAAAATCTTTTGCCTTTTCGTACTCTCCCATTTCACTGTAAACCAAACCCAGATTGTTGTACGTTGTCGCAATATTAACATGGTCAGGTCCAAATGTTTTTGTTTGAATTTCTATCGCTCGTTCATAAAAATCTTTTGCTTTTTCGTACTCTCCCATATTATCGTAAACCGAACCCAGATTGTTGTACGTTGTCGCAATATTAACATGGTCAGGTCCAAATGTTTTCGTTTTAATTTCATCGCTCGTTCATAAAAATCTTTTGCTTTTTCGTACTCTCCCATTTTACTGTAAACCGAACCCAGATTGTTGTACGTTGTCGCAATATTAACATGGTCAGGTCCAAATGCTTTCGTTTCAATTTTCATCGCTCGTTCATAAAAATCTTTTGCTTTTTCGTATTCTCCCATATCTTTGTAAACCAAACCCAGATTGTCGTACCTTGTCGCAATATTAACATGGTCAGGTCCAAATGCTTTTGTTTCAATTTCTATCGCTCGTTCATAAAAATCTTTTGCTTTTTCGTACTCTCCCATATTATTGTAAACCAAACCCAGATTGTTGTACGTTGTAGCAATATTAACATGGTCAGGTCCAAATGCTTTTGTTTCAATTTCATCGCTCGTTCACAAAAATCTTTTGCTTTTTCGTATTCTCCCATATCTTTGTAAACCAAACCCAGATTGTTGTACATTGCAGCAATATTAACATGGTCAGGTCCAAATGCTTTGGTTTCAATTTCTATCGCTCGTTCATAAAATCTTTTGCTTTTCGTATCTCCCATTTTACTGTAAACCGAACCCAGATTGTTGTACGTTGTCGCAATATTAACATGGTCAGGTCCAAATGTTTTCGTTTCAATTTCTATCGCTCGTTCATAAAAATCTTTTGCTTTTTCGTACTCTCCCATATATCTGTAAACCGAACCCAGATTGTTGTACGTTGTCGCAATATTAACATGGTCAGGTCCAAATGTTTTGTTTGAATTTCATTGCTCGCTCGAAAATCTTTAGCATTTTCATATTCTCCATTCTTCCAAAGCAATCACCCAGCTCGTTGTACGAATATGAAACATCAATATGATCAACACCTAACACTTTAGTTTGAATTTCTGTTATTTCATAAAGTACTTTAGTTGCAAGTTTATAGTTGCAAAATCTTTCAAAACATCTACAAAATATTTGGCAAATTCCAATTTCTTTCATCAAGTTTTGTTTTGATGATTTTACATCGATCAACTTATTTAGGAAATGTTGAAATGATGAATTTGTTATGAATTTAATTAGATGTGGAATTATTTTGATTTCATCTTCTCTGTCTTTAAAATGATTTAGTGCCCAAGCAACTTGACAGGCAAGATCAGCTGCAGACTTTTAGAATTATTTTCGTT